GCTGGCCCTGTGCTGCCAGTCACCTGAGCAGGCTTTCTTGCAGATTTCCTGAGATGGGGTAAACTAAGGTATTGTGACAAGTGAATGTAAATGTATGCCAGAAAATGCAATCTTGAAATGAATTATTTTTTTGGCATAGTGTCTTCCTGCTGTGTGCGTTTGATGTGTGTTGCCTTCACTGACGGACCGTAGGGCAGTAGTGCTACTTCCACTGGGGTTGTCATTGTGCCCAGCCAGCTCATCTGTCCATACCAAAACAAGCTGGAGGTCTTAAAATGCTTTATTTAAAGGTGTTTGTTCACAGCCATTTCTGGGGGGGAACAGGCTGAGCTGAATGGGCGTGTGTTTGTATGTGTCTGCTGGGTCTGGGGCTTTGCTGCCTACTGCAGGCTGGTGTGGCTGGTGTGGAAGGAGGACCATGAAGCAGGATCTGGGCTGTCAGACCTGTAAGAGCTGAGAGGTACTGAATACAAAATACAGCAACGCTTTTTATAACAATTAATTTCTGCACCTTTGTCTTCCAAAATGGCATGAAGTCCAGGATTTAAAAACTTGGAGACTATGCAGACTTGGCATATTTACTTTCTATATGCCTCTGTGCTGTATGAAATAAGACTATGCATTAGTCAGTGAATTTGTATCAGAGGGCTTGGCTCTATAGACTCTGCGGTTGTTGTAGACTCTGCAGTTGTTGTTTCTTGGTTCCCATTTCTTCCTTCCTTAAATAAAGTTTTTAAAATAGGTCATCAATCTTTTGCTTGGTTTCTTGAGGCTATTGAGATTTACAGGAGAGTTGGGGTTTTTTTTTGCTTTTCTCCGTAGTGTTTATGGAGTGTTTGTCCACTTGAGAGGTGTGGGGTTTGTTTCTATTTATGAGGCGTGATTTTTTGTTTCTTCTGAAGTTTATTTTATTTCCAAATACAAATCTTTTTAAAGAGTGTATCTGTTGAAATCATGATCCTGAAAATGGCCCTAATACTCTGCCACCCTGGGAGAGGAAACAGAAAAGTCACATGCCAAACAAGTGTTTCATATGCTGGTCTGAGAATTACGTTTTCTGCTAAGTTAAGAAATCGATGTGCTTATAAAACTAGAACTGAATATCCGTGTTTCTTTGTGCATAAAAATGCCAAGTTCACAGTTTTATTTCCTGTCTGTCTTCACTGCAGAATTAGCTCCTTCTAGTGTTAGCCACTCTTTGAGTAGTACTCAAGCTGCACAGAGGGCTTATATTAGTACAGATGACTTACTGCTAACTTGAGTGGTAATGTCCTTAGAAGGCAGCCAGCAGTTGTTAATGGTATTCTCATCTCGACTGTCTATCTTGTACAGTTACACAGCCTAGTTAGCTGTGCAGTGAGATTTCCTTTATGGGGAACAATCATAATTTGAATTAACTCCTCAGGGAGGATGGGCCCTTTAGCTTTGGTGCGTTGGGCAACCTGATGGAGTTAGGGTGGTTAACAAGGTTTGGAGTCATGTTGCCTGGCAGTACCATGAGAACCAGACCAAATAGACAAATGGGTAGACTGTTTGAGCAGTCTGAAATCACACAGCAATTACAGCTCCTGTAATGACAAAAATTAAAGGGCACATCTGTTACTGTAGCGTTTGTTCTCGAGTGCCAGTCACTCATACTGTGAGTCTAGGGTGTTAATTCCCACATGGGCTACATGGTGCTCTGTATCCACTTTTTATGCACTTGGAGAGGGGAGGTGTCATGGCACAACGCACACAGTAGGAGAGATGTGGCATCTGGAGTCCTTCTAAATACTTGTTTATTTGGTTTCCTTAGAGTAGCTTAATTTATCATTCTGTTTTTTAAGTACTTAGATGCTTCTCCAGACATGTATGTGTGACAATCGTGAATGAGTAGACATGGAAAAAGGGAATTTGGCTAGCTTTAAAAACACAATTGTGTGCAAGGTTGTACAGGATATTCAAGTCAAAGCAAAGAACGCAGCAGACTGAGAAAATGGGAAGGTGTAAGCATATTTAAAGTCTTAACAGTGCAAGGAGTTATGTAGAAATTCATCCAAGAAAACCGTTTGGTTCTCCATCAGCTTTTCCTTTTAATTCTGCTGTTCAGTGAATCTTGTCTACCACTGGAGGAAATGCCTGTTTTCTTCCAAAACACATCTCTCCACTGGAGGCTAGCAGCACTCGTAGCACTGTAAAAATGATCCTCGATGGAAACCAGCTGAGCTACAGAAAGATTCCTCTGAGCTTTCACTCGGAAGTAAATTGTAGAGAATGCTTTCCTTGCTTCTTGCTGGTACTGAAAACTGGTCTTCAGTTACTGCAAAATGCAGTATTTTCTGTAACATGCATCAGATGTCAGTGAAGCAGTCAGGCCCACTCTTTGGCCATGAGAGTTTGAGCTGGGCTTTGCATAAGTGGAAAGTCAAAGGTAACTTTTTTGGGACCTAATAGCTACTTCAGATTTAAACTAGACTGCAGTTGATTTGCTTTCTGCCTTGATGAGCACTTGAAGTTGTCATGAGCTTTTAAATGTGTCAAAAGGGAAATGATTTCCCTGGCTCCTTGCTTAGGTTATTTGGCTAAAGTTTATTCTTCATTACCTTTCATTTTTCTGATACTGTGTGGGTTTTTTTAATCGGGCCTGTGATCAGATTAAATTGCACCTGAAATATGGTTTGTAAAAGAGAATACAGTCCTCTGGATTCGAAAGTTCATTCTACTCTTCTTTAGTGCACGACGCTCCTTGAGATAGTAATAGGAGTTGCATGTGCAAATGCTTTTCTTTCCAGTAGTTAACTCTTTTCCATAGGAGAGGCTTGCATTTAGATAGACTTCATGTTTTGGATGTGTAAAAATGAATTAATCTGTCAGTGGGGTGTTTAAATTTTGATAACCATAACTAACATGATGGACATCTTTCACATGCTGATGTGTAATTTGACATCTACCAAAGTGAACAGCCTGAAATTCTTGTTCTGCCTAATGCTGCAGAGTCATTAAAACTACAGTATTCTATAGCCAGCCCATAGACTATCCTATAGTCTATTTCCATTGACATCTCCAATAGTGAGTGTTGTATTCCTTATGAATTTAGTTGGGAAAATAGGGAATATTCCTACAAGGGAGGCATCTAACCCAGTTTCTTTTCTCTTTTTCTCCTTTTTTTTTTTCTTTTTTTCTTTCTTCTTTCCCATGTACTCTTCAATTTACTGTACTAGGTAACTGAGGGCAAACACGTTGTAAGGTCATTGGTGAGAAAACCCCTCAAAAATATACTTGTCCATAAAGGTTTCTTGTTGAGACATTCTTTGCACTTTTGCAGATGGGAGAATATGTACATAGCAAATGAATGTTGATGAAATTAAAATAATTGGTTATGATATCATTTGCGTGTGTTGTTAGAGAATATTTTGTTGTGACTTCTCTGTATTAAAAAGTAAATAAATACCAGACAGCTAACAGTGTGGGTTCTTCTTTCCCCCTTCTTCTCTTGACTATTTATTACTCCTGCTCTTTATAGAGAAACTTACTCTAGTTGCCCTAAGTATTAAAGGGCACAGAGAAGACAGGTTTTCAGTGTCAATTAAAATGAAGCTTTGATATCATACTGTACTAAAAGGGATAGAGGGAGGTGATGTGTCCCCTTGCAAAACAGAAATCTTGTTCACTTTCTTGACATTGAAATGCTCTCCCTGTAGTGTAGTGTGTCCTCTAGGAGCTGATTCAGGAATACCTGTGTGTTGCACCGGCCATTGGCTGTGGGGATGAATAGAGGACAGTGTTGAGTCCTTCACTTCTGGTTGAGTCTGTTAATGGAAATATGCCCTCCTGTGCCTGAGAAATACCAGAAGGGCTTCTCTAGGGGGGAACACAATACGGCAGCACAAGGCAAAAGGTTTTCTACGTTGCAACTGAACACTTCATCTCTGAAACTCTGTTGCAAGGGAAGGAGCCTCAGATCCTTGCTTCCTGCATAAGGTTTTCAGTATTTTGACTAACCATCTAATCATGCATTTTAGCAAACCTTGCTCCATATGCTTACAGCATGAGTTTTCAGCCCTTGACATATTACCACAGGGAAGTTCAGGAAGGACGTAAATGATCAAGGCAATCTGGACTTAGAAAAGGTAAAGCAAATACTGCCACAGGGGAAGGAGGGCCACAGCTTGAGAGAGAAATGTGATTTAGGGACTGGAAACACTAAAGAGCCAGCCTTAGCTGTTCAGGTCTAATTTTGGAAGCAGATTCTGTAGCTGGCTTGAATAACCTTGAAGCTGAAAAACTGTATGTTGTGTTAATTATGAAAAGCACTCTGGATAGCTGCCTCTTAAAAGGCAAAGATCTGTTTACGAGGTGAAAATACAAATAAGTTGCCATCAAGTAATTGCAAGTGATTCCATATCGATATTTTGCTGAAGGGATCTTAGGTCATGGTTTAAGCCTGTGTGGGAAAACTAAATGAGAACTAATGAAGACTGTTCCCCAAATTTAATTACTGCAGTTGTTACCACTTTTGGTAGTGAGCATTAAACTGCAGAACTTCAGGTTTGATCTGCTGCGGTAATTACTGTGTTGCTGAAAGAAGCTGAATAGCATTCTGGGAATGTGGAGGAAAGAAAAAGTTACTGAAAAAAAAGCTTTTCAAGCTGTTACATGATCGCGTATGTAGTTAAAGTAGGGATGGCACAGGCAAATTGGGTTAGGAGCATGCCTGGGCTCATGTTCCTGCTGGAGGCATCCCTGATTGTATCAGAGGAAGTGAATGAGCTATTCAGGCTGCCATATGTGTGTGGGTGCGTGCACCTAAAAATACATGTCCAGGTTTCACAGAGCTATATTCATATTTGATTTCTATTCTGACAGAATTCTGAGAAACAGCTTCTGTTCATTCTGATGTTAGTAAAACGTGGCCGTAGAAAACAAAACTTTCTTTCCAAAACAGCTGCAGCTGCTGTGCTTTGTCACTGACTTAATACGTTAGAATTTTTTGGCTTTAAATATGTGTATTAGTCACTGGGTTTCCTGCACATTCGCTTTTCATTCAGGGATGGCCAACCAACATCAGTGGGATGTGCAGAGAAACTACAGCTGGTATAGCTCTCAGCCATAGCAGCATCGAGGAGTAACTCTCAAGCCATGTTCCAAGGAGAAATTTGCTCCTTCCTCCTATGAAAAGAAAGGTTTCCTCTTAGGAGGGCACCTGCTTGGAGTGCTGTGTATTCAAGTTTACATCTGGCTCCATTATCTAATGTAACCCTGAAGCTATTCCCTTTTGTTAAACATGCAGTGCACTTGTTTTCTTGTGAGAAAAACATGTGCGTGGATCACATCCATCTTACTGCTGCTGTGTCCCATTTTCCTGGCTACACTCTCATTTAACAAGCAGTTGAAAAAAATAAAAAGCTCCAGCAGGATCTTTTCAAAATAAAAATCTGGTTATCCAGTTACAGAATAACAAATCAATGCTGCCTTTGTGTGATGCCTGCATGACTCTTACTAACACAACAGTCGTAACTGTGGAATGGATTCTTTGGAGATAGAAGGTAATCCAGCCATAAAATTGGGGAGACTTAAGTAATAAACTAAATTGCCAAATACTTTTGACTTTCCTTCAGTGCCTGAGCTTTTAAATGAGTTTGGCTCCAACCTAAGTAATACCTTGTGTTTGGCATGTGATTAATAGCAGGCTCAGTTTAATTGTTTGGGACTTGTTCTAAGAAACATCCCTGCTAGCTGATGTATAATGTTCACAGGCCTCTAAATCCCCACATGACAAACTGATCCTTTTTGTATTCGTGTGTTTAGGAAACATCATTCTATTGGCACAGGACACAAGTACTAGTTGAGGTTACTCAACGGTTCTGAGAACAGCTTTTCCTTTCCTACATCTTCTATAAGACTTGGAGGCAGATGTGCTCTGAGATCAGAGACGAGAGGAAGATCAAGAAACTGAATAAGAATTGAGGATCAACATTTTAATAATGAGGAAATGTTTTCTTTAAAGCTTTGTTTAAATGGTTGTTACGGTTACAAGCTCTGTAACCAGGATACTCCAGTTACACAAATAGTAATTTAGCCTGCTTTTTAATCTCATTTTTCTGCCAAAGAATATATTGAACTACATGGGAGTCTTTCCTTGCCATGGGGCAGCGTTTCCATTCAGTGCAGTCAGTCAGCTCTAGTTGGCTGGCTGGGCCACTGAGGAAAAGGGAGCAGGCTACAGACCTTAGCGTAGAGCCAGGGAGGACATGGGAACCGACTGGTTGGTAGCAAAATGCTATGTAAGCTGTAATTCACTGCTGAAGGCCGTATGGCAGCCAGGCTGGTTGGAGTACAAATTAACTGCAGAGTAAGGGGCATTTCATGACAAAAGTTTTATGACAGTTTTTCCTGGTGTTTTTGTACGCAGTCCTCACTTAAAAATTGTCAGTGCTTGTAACTTGCTGAATTTAACTTCCTGCAGCTCTGGCTGGAAGTCCCTGTTCTGCTTCTTCACCTCTTCCCTGTCACTCGTGCTGGGGCTGAAGGGATGCTCACAGTCAGGGGAATATGGACCTGGTTACTTCCAGACCCACTAAGCTGGCTGTCCTGGGTTCAGCAGTAGCAGTCATTTTTCTCGTTCTTAGTAGCTGGTGCAGTGCTGTGATTTTGACTTTCAGCCTGGGAATAGCGCTGATAACACCGAGGGTTTTAGTTGTTTCTCAGTAATGTTTAGTCTGACCAAGGACTTTCTGAGTCTCATGCTCTGCCAGGGAGGAGGGGAAGTTGGGAGGAAGCAGAGACAGGACACCTGACCCAAACTGACCAAAGAGGTATTCCATACCACAGCACATCATGCCCAGGATGTAACTGGGGGGAGTTACCCGGAAGGGCCAGATCAGTGCTGGGTTGGGCTGAGTATCGGTCGGTCGGTGGTGAGCAGTTGTATTCTCTTCCCTTGTTATTTCCCTTATTATTATTGGTGGTAGCTGGAGTGATTTGTGTTATACCTTAGTTACTGGACTGTTCTTATCTCAACCCGCTAGAGTTTCATTCTTTCGATTCTCCTCCCCATCCCTCTGGGAGTGTGGGGAAGAAGAAGGGCGGGGAGTGATCGAGCAGCTGTGTGGTTCTGAGTTACCGTGCTTAAGCCACGACTCTAGCTCTGCACCTCAGTGCTTTGCAGGTAAGAGATGCAACGTGGAGAGGCTGAAGCCAATCCTGGAGAGGGCCACTGTGGGTATGACTGAGCTGAATTATTTTGCCTCTGTGTTCTGCCTCCCTCATCTATAATATGCTTGTGACCTGCTTCTGAGGGCTATTTGTCTTAAAGGTTCGCATGGAAAAGGAAGGGGAAAAAGAATGTCACTTAACAGCCCCTGCTGCTGCATGTCAGTGGCATACCTATTGCTCAGGGGAGCATCAAGCATCTTGAGTTTGCTCAAGTTCCTTGCACCACATAGATGTGTCATGAGGGTCCTTGCTTCATTACTCATTTTCTGGAGAATGCTGGGGACATACTGTTACCATTGTGATGCGACTGCTTAGTGCGAGGCATTATGCCTATGGAGGTGGTGCAGCTACACAGCAGGTGCAGCAAGATCACCCAGCCATCCTTCTGCTCTTGGGGAAGATTCTAATAGAAGGAGCTTTCAGGAGCTACCTATCTGTGACACGAATAAATGAGAAAAGAGTAGCTTCAAGGGAGCAGGGAAGCCAAGCCGGGATTTTTTTAGCTGTCCTCTGTTTCCTGAAGTCCGTGGAAATGGTGGTGTGCCTGTTTATGCCCTAAGAAGATTTGTACTAGTGCTTCAGATAGATAATTGCTGGACATCAGAAATTCAGAGTACAGGTACTGCTGAGAACAAGTGCTATATAAATTAGTCTAGTGTTTGGCAGATCTCTCATTAGCAAGGACTTCTTAATAAGAATTGTGATTTTCTTATTAATGAGGAATTACCCTCCGAATCCTTTTCATGGGAAGAAAATCAGAAATCTGACTTAGTAAGGTGAGGACATTTGGCTGAAGGCATGAAAGAGGTGATGGGAGAATGAAGATCTCACTTCCCCTCTACACAGCACACACAGTACACAGTATGCTAGAGATTGGAAGGGACCTCGAAAGATCATCTAGTCCAATCCCCCTGCCGGAGCAGGAACACCTAGATAAGGTTACACAGGAATGTGTCCAGGCGGGTTTTGAATGTCTCCAGAGAAGGAGACTCCACAACCTCCCTGGGCAGCCTGTTCCAGTGTTCCGTCACCCTCACTGAGAAGAAGTTTCTTCTCAAGTTTAAGTGGAACCTCTTGTGTTCCAGTTTGTACCCATTACCCCTTGTCCTATCATTGTTTGCCACTGAGTAGAGCCTGGCTCCATCCTCGTGACACTCCCCCTTTATATATTTATATACACTAATAAGGTCACCCCTCAGTCTCCTCCAAACTATAGAGACCCAGCTCCCTCAGTCTTTCCTCATAAGGGAGATGCTCCACTCCCTTAATCATCTTAGTTGCCCTGCGCTGGACCCTCTCCAGCAGGTCCCTGTCCTTCTTGAACTGAGGGGCCCAGAACTGGACACAATATTCCAGATGGGGTCTCACCAGGGCAGAGTAGACGGGAAGGAGGACCTCTCTCGACCTACTAACCACCCCCCTTCTAGAGAGCGTAGAGCAGAGCATGGTAGAAGAGAGGAATATCCTGACACAACAGACTGGAGAAAAGGCAGAATTAGCATTTTGGTGAAGATGGGGAGACCTTCAATCAAGGTGTTCTATGGCTAGTTTGGTTTACCTGCAACACAAAATACGTCTTGGGGGAAACTTCAAGTACAAAAGACTTCCTTTGGTGTCTCTTGCTATGACTGTCACCAGAGCGGTTAGGAGTTAATATGAGTAGTACTGGGTACAGCCCAATGCAAGAACACCTTGAGAGCAGAGTCTGAGGCTTGCACTGAGCTTTTGCTGAGGATTGTGTCTGAGCACTGACCCTCTCCTTGGTGGGGATGGCAGTGTTGTCATGGCCTTGCTGGAGGTTTGTTATTTGTGTGGATTTTGGCATGCTCTGTGTCTGACCTTCTCTGATGAAAATGTGCTGGCAGGAGAGGAGCATGGGAGGGCCCAGCACTGCTCTGCTCCTGCACTGGGAGCACGGCTGCTCTGTTTTTGCCACTTCACTGCCACCTCTGTGGAAACACAGAGCAGCTAAAAACCCTAAAGCAGCTGGACTTCTCAGGCCATATTATTACTGAATCCTCTCTCCCGCCTTGTGCTCAGCTGCTGATTAGTGGAAACGTAGTTTTGTGAGCCCAGCCAGAGAGAGATGGACAGATTTTGAAGTGGGTGTGTATAATCTGCGAACCCGCATTTAATTCTGACTGTTGTGGCAGAGGTCAGGGCACAATAAATGTGCATGTAAGATCTTGCGCTGGTTTAACTGCATCAATTTGAAAATTGATAGGCATGAACAAGACCCAAACCCATCTGTATTGCACTTTTGAAAACCTGCAGTGTGGTAGTGAGGACCCCAAAATAAGCCTGACTTTCCTCCATAGTACTGTCACTCCCTCTGACTGCCACAGGCACATACTGCACCAGCACAGGGGAAGATATTTCAGACAGGTTCAAAGCTGCACCAGGGGAGGTTTGGACTGGACATTAGGATGGATTTATTCACTGAGATGGTGGTCACACAGAAGAATGGGCTTCCCAGGGAGGTGGTTGATGCCCCAAAACTGTCAGTGTTTAAGAGACATTTGTCCAATGCCCTTCGCAACATGATTTAAACTTTCATAGAATCATAGAATCGCAGAATCAACTTGGTTGGAAAAGACCTTTAAGATCACCAAGTCTAACAATTCCCCCAGCACTGCCAAGGCCACCACTGAACCATGTCACTGAGGGCCTCATCTACATGGGTTTTGAACACTTCCAGGGATGGTGATTCCAGCAGTTCCCTGGGCAGCCTGTTCCAGTGCCTGACCAACCTTTTGGTAATGATTTTTTTCCTTATATCCCATCTAAACTTCCCTTGGCACAGCTTGATGTTGTTTCCTCTTGTCCTATCACTTGTTACCTGGAAGAAGACACCAGCCATCTCCTTGCTCCATCCTCCTTGTAGAAGTTGCTGTTGGTCAGCCCTGAAGTGCTCAGGCAGTTGCACTAGATGATTGTTGTAGGTGCCTTTTAACTGAAGCTGTCTAGTTCTGCTCCATTTCATTCCATTCTATTCTACTCTGGCTTTTCAGTGTAGGCTGGTATGACAAGACATCTTTGCAAGACTGACTTAAGCTTCTCAGCCTTTAAGGATTAGAAAAGACTTCTGCTTATTTTGTTTTCTCTGGTTGAATGCAACACACGAGTGCTTTAATCAAGTTCTCATGGTGCTGCATTTTTCTTCTTATTGATCCTTATAGCATTTTGCCTGGCAAGTATATACAGAAAGTTCATACAGCTGTGTAAACGTTATTATCATCAAGTACTACTCTGCTGAAGAGTTGGACAGATTTGCCAAAGCATCAGGAGAACAACTTTATTAAGCATAGGAACCTGAGCTTATAGGTGGTATGCTCAAGTAGCTGATGCTGTGTCACACATCCAGTTGGAGCTGCACCTGCAGGGGGAGTGAGGATTTCCAGAGGATCTGGATAAACCCACCTGTTTGCCAACACTTGCTCCTCCACTCAGCTGGCGCAGGTGCCTGCATAGTCATCCTCTGAGCAAAGACACCAGGTCAAAATGACCTGGTTTGCTTGAGCATTTTCCCAACTAAATCTAAAGCTTCCTGATGTATTTTCACCAGGCTGGTTTAGGAAATGAGTTCATGAGCTGGTACACTGGCAAAATCAGTGAAGGGTTAAGCTGTGGTGGAGTTCATGGTGAGGTACTGGAAAGACTAGGGGATAAATGGGAAGTGGTGGCTGCTTCACTTGGATCCTAGCAGCTCAAGCAGGCAGGGAACTCACTGATACAGTTAAGCATGTACTGGGCTCTATTGTCCTGAAATAGGTGTGTCCCAGTGTCATTGCAACAGAAGAAGAGCTGGGTTTATTCAGCCTAGGGGAGGGAATGAGCTATTCATCCCAGCTGGGGGGAATGAACTGATGTCTTTAACTAATGATGGGAGGCTATGGAGAAGACAGTGGTACACAGTGGCGAGGTGAGAGGCCAAGGACGTTGGCTGCATGAAGGAAGCTTAGATAGAACAAAAAAAAATTCACTGTGAAGGTAATCAGGCATGGGAACAAGTACCCAGAGATGTGTAATCTCTGCCTTTGGAAATAGTCAAAAGTGACAGGACCTGAGCAACATGATGTAACTTCGAAATGGGCCCTGCCCCCCTTAGGAAGGCAAGGTGGCCTCTAGAGGTCCCCACCAACATAAAACATTCTATGATTATAATTTTTATGGCATTTTAAATTAGATGAAAGCTGTTAATCTCACTGAGATGTAAATGTTGCTTGCACTCAAAATAACTCACAACTATGTTCACTACCCAAATTTTACATGCGGAAAGATGAGGCAGAAAGACCATTCATTCGTCCGGGATGCAGCAAGGATCCCAGCTCCTCTTCCTGGGGGAGAAGGCCAGCAAGCAGAGCAGCTTTGTTACAGGGTGCTCCTGCAGCTGTGGTGTTACAAAGCTTACACCATCAAAATGCCTTACTACAGCTCTGTAATTCTGTGTACTTCACAGCTATAATAGAACATGCTACATCATATGACATCTTACATTAATATATAATTAAAATATCAGTATGGTATATGTTAATTCACTGGTAGCTGTGGAGAACACTGTTCCAGCAAGAATCCTTACTAGTATATGTGTAACAGAGACATAGAAATAGATAATAACAAACATAATAAACTGAAGATGCAGAAAGCCTGGGTGGGTTAATGGCAGCCACTGTTCTGCACACACAAAGTAAACGTGATCTTTTATCAAAGGAGAAGTCCAATCTCCTTTCTGGGGAGCTGGCAGAATATAGGAGGCTGTTGTGTACCAAGTCGGTAAATTGCAGTTATATTAATCTATATGTTGTGGGTGTATTTAATGGTGCAGATAATGATAGACGGAGAGGAAGGAGTTGACAGAGGCAGATGCAGAGGGCTGCTGCTGAGTGAGATATCTCTCATGATGGCAGATCCATCTCTTCCTTACTCTATGTCAAGCTGCTATTTCTGTTGTCAAGACTTTTCTTAACAAACTTTCTAACTATACAGAAAGTTAGACACCAGTCTAACACCAGTCAAAAGTGTGGTGTCAGACACGAGTTTGACACCAGTCAAAAGTGTGGTTTTGTGTAATGGTCAGGCAGTCTAGCAATAGTCTAGAAACACAAATGTAAAACTAAAACTGTCTCCAAGTGATGTAATTCAGATGCGACCCTAAATTTCAGGAGGTAACCCTGCATTAGCAGCCCACAGAAAAAGCCTGTTTCTAATAAAAATGACATGGACTACAGTCTTTTTTCCTTTCTTTGAAACAAATGCCTCATTTTCTTCACATTACATTCAGCCTCTAGTGTAACAGAAAGATGAGCCTTCTGTGTTCTGTGATGTTGTGGTCTATAGATAT